TTGAATCTCAGATCTGTACCTCTGAAACAAATAATGCAATATATGTTAAGAAAAAAAAAAAGAAGAAGGTAGCAGGAGGGGAAGAATGAAGCAGGGGAAATCGGAGGGGTAGACGAACCATGAGAGACGATGGACTCTGAAAAACAAACTGAGGGTTCTAGAGGGGAGGGGGGTGGGAGGATGGGTTAGCCTGGTGGTGGGTATTGAGGAGGGCACATTCTGCATGGAGCACTGGGTGTTATGCACAAACAATGAATCATGGAACACTACATCTAAAACTAATGATGTAATGTATGGGGATTAACATAAGAATAAAAAAAAGAAAAGAAAAAAAAATACTGTTCTTTTCCCATTGAATACTCTTGGCACCCTTGTCAAATGAGATGTATCTCACAATTGTAAGTGGCTGTTTTTCTAAAACACATCTTACAATTCAGGGAATCTTAAGTGTTCCAATACTTTATCAAATTTAATTCCTGAAATAAAAGCCCATGTTAATGTGCATTTTCTTTAGGGAAATGAAAAATCCATTTCCCTCAAAAATATTAAGCCTCCTTAAATATCAATGTGATGAGAAACTATCAAATACATATATTTTCTTATGAAAGACCTATTAGTTTAAGGCTTGAAGGCTTACCCATAATCCTTATGTTGTTAAAAGTGAATGAAGATTGTCGCAAAAGTAGCCATATGACTATAATGAACATGGAGAAAATCCATTCTATGAGTCAGGTTGAATTCTCCTGGAAGTTAGATTTAAGCACTGATGGAATTTTTTTAATAAAAAAATTAATGGGATTTTCAAAATCAGATTTAAACATGTATTGTGTGGAACAGAATACAGTAACATCAAGTATTTGGGATCAACTTGAAAGTTTGAGAAATGTAAAACTCACGTCTACTTTTGTGTCAACTTCGTATTAAATGTCCTGATAAACCCCCAGACAGCCACAGAGTCTGAAGACAATGACTCACAAACATACTGAGATTCGTTTAATAATTTTTGAAGATTTTTTTCCTGTAAAATGGCTTGTATTTCCACAGGTACAATAGTGAAGAAATAAACTTTTCAATTCGACATGAAATATAAAAGAACAGTTTTACAAATATATCCATAAAATTTAACTGCTCATAACACTATACATGGTAAATATGACCACCCCTTAACTTCTAGACTATTTAATACAGAGAAACAATGTCATCTCAGCTAAAAAGAAATAATTTCCCTTTCATCAAGTTTATTTTTGTTTAGAAACGGTTAAGTAGAACTGGAAAAATATTTGCTTCTTCCTATCTTCCTCTAGGGCTTTTTCACGAGGGCGAAAACTTGAGAGGATGTAAGTTTTACTGAAAAGAAACACTGAACCTTATTTTACTACTTCAGTAATGCTTATGCTCTTCTAAAAAAAAAAAAAAAAAAAATTCCTGGAGTTGTCTCATTGGCCTTTGGGTCATGAAGAAATAACAGAGCTCTGCTCTATTTCCAGCCCTGGAGAAGGAACTTCATACCCTCAGCCCATGAAGGCTAAACTACGGGGATACAAGATCGCCTGCCAAGGGAACGGAGCTGGATCTGGCTTAAGTTCAAGGTTCTGTGGTTTGCCTATCAGAAATTCCACTGTTACAAGGCAAAACTGCATGAAGATAACTAGCTTGTAGCCAGCATGAACAATGCCGTGATCACACATCCTCTCACACGAATCCAAAGGCTTTCAAAAAGTTGATCAAAATCTTAGAACTGCAGGTAACAATTCTGTAAGCTATGAGAAAAGGAGAAAACATGCTCCCTTTAACTGTCAAAATTACCCAAATCACAATACTGAGCTCCCAAAACACAGGGGTTTGAGTTTTATGTAAGCAAAAATAAAGCAACTGAAGTTTATGAAGAGTTTTCAAATTTCCTAATACAGTATCTGCAATAACTTAAGATTTCCCTATTGATACTGGAAATAAATTCTATTACAATCATGTATATGCCAGCTCCTGGCATATTTCTGCATCCAGATTCATTAGTCTCCTTCATGGAGCCCATCATTTTTCCAATGGCTTTCTCCTTTCTTTAAACCCTAACCCTGAAATTCTAGAACCAGTTATATCACGTGGCTTCCCTGAGGCACAAAGGTACCAAACTCTATAATTAACTATTGAGGAATGATAAATATGCTCTCTATTTATATTAAAACATTTTAATTCTTTTGGGCCACAGTTGGGGGAAAAAACAAAAAACCTAGAAAGTTTAATACTTACTCTGCAGTGTGAACTGTAGCCCTTTTTGCAAAAAGCGAAACCAAGTAAGGGAAATGTTGAATTGCAGCATGCATGACCCGACAGCACCGATTATTAATAAAAAAAACTCCAGACTAGAAAAATATTCAGAGTTGTATCCCATCCACCTTTTTTTTTTTTTTTAAAGTAAACTGACAACTGAAAAAAATTAACTATGGGAATACATCACTGGGGTTTTACTTCTGGTGACCTATTCACAAAAGGCATTTTGGTCAGGCCAAGATCAGGATAATCGGTCAGCAGTTTCCTATGTGGACACCTGGAGGAGTGGGACTCCCCCCTTAATGTGGTGGCAAGCAAGACAAAAAGAGAAATAACCTCTGAGAAGTTTCTTCTAAACTGCATTACTCCATAGAGCTGGAGCTCTTTATTCTCACAAACTGAACTGCTCTCAGCTCTGGAGAAAACTCCTTAGTCCAAATTCTAAGTGACTCTTACTAGAAGCGGCCAACATGAGCATGGCCCCTTTTTGCAGACTTGTCCCCTCTCTGCTCTTCCTTCGGTGGAGTGGGAGGGGACCTCACTTGGAGGTCAAAGGAGATGCAATGTGGACAGAGGGCTGTGCACCATGACCCCCTTCCCAGAGCTTGGAATTTATTACTCCAAGTTCAACTTTTACTTCATTAGCTCCATTTACTGAAAGTAAAAAATAAAACAAAAACCCACAAACAACTTTTCACATGGGAAGATTATTTGGGGGCATGTTTTGCACGTAAAACTGCTAGACCCTGAACTATTATAGTCCTTGAAATGGAAGATTACAGCAGATCGTTGTAACTTTCCAGAAATGTTTCTGACAGGGAAAATCCAGCCCTTCTAGGTACAAGGCCATTTACCTTACAAGATGCTTTTAGAGTATCAAGACTCCTCAAACCACCTTCTAGCCATAACAGCAAGCAAAGGGTCTGTTGCCCCCTTTGCCATTTTGTGGAGCCCAAAGGAGCACAAACTGAAAAGACACTTTAAGTGAAAGCTAATCCTTGGGGACAGAGACTACCTAAAAAGGCTTTTGATACATTATGACTTACTCTACCTGAAGACAAAATGACATTACCTACAGAATAGAGTAAGCTAGCAAGAGGACTGTTTTTGGATTTTTCACATCACTTAAAAATTACCAAAACAAAAAAAGTCTCCTCCTTAAGGATAATCTCCTTTGAAAGGTAAAGCTTTTTTTTTAAAACTGAGAAGCTGAACTTTCTAGATATTAGGTCAAATTAAGTAGCAGCAATCAAAGATCATCTAATCACTTTCAGGAAAAAAAGACATTCACAACGTGTTAGAACAATTGAAAATAGGGCAACATACTTCCTTGAATGGAAAGACATTCAAGTATGAATACAGTATGTGAGAATCCTATAAATTCTATACCCTTACAAAGGTTAAAATGTAGCATGGATCTGTAATGGTCAACTTAGGAGAATGTTAGTTTAAGATACTTGCTGCTTGTGGCGGGATCCGCTTCCTGCCGGCCAGCTGTGGCAGTCTCCGGGCCTAAAGAACCTTTACATTCTGGGAGCGGTGATGCTCTCAGTACCGAGGACCGAGAATGAGCATCTGAGAATTAGTCAAGACGAACGGAACGAACAGAAGGGTGGTGGCGCTCATATGAAATTCTGATTTAATTATTCCTCAGTAAACACTCATTTGCTCTCTTGAAATCAGGAATTTCAAATTCTCTCTGCAGATGTACCACTTGGTGTTGTGTATATCTAATGATCCCATTTAAATTTAGCTTGATTTGCAAACATTTTCGAAACTTACAGGGCTCCATAAGCTGGAGAAGGTGACAGATGGCAGGGAGGGAGTGAACCAGAATGGCTGCATCCTTGTGAGCTGTTGCTTTTCGGCTCCCAGAGTTTTGGCCGCCTTGAGAAAAACTTAACGAAACCCCAACAAGTGGTTTTAAAAAGTAAAACCTTGTTTTTAATCCTAAATCCTAAACATTCCAGTAAGCAGATAAACTCGATGGTGTAGTACCTAGGCCATGCCACAATAATCACCCTCAATTATTAAATTTTTAGGAGTTGCTGCATTTTAATCAACTAAACAGTTCTGGCCGTGCACGTGGAGTATCACGGACGTAACAAAAGGTGGACTAAGAAGTTACGGAAATTTCTTTGAAATGCCAAGGTATTTGATGACTGTGTGGATAAAGTCATTGAATTCCACCAAAGTAAACAGAACACGGCAGCATAGGGATGTTCTTTTCCCAAAAACAGAAAAATCCGAAAGCCCCCGATTTCAGAATGCGCCCCTGTGCCTAAGGTCTCCTGCGCGCCCCCCAGCCCCGCGGTATGGAGTGGCGGATTCGGCGCCACGCAGCTCCTAGCCTCGGCCAAGTACATGCGGGCCCTGCACGGCTCGCCGGGAGCACCCACGGCACGCAGCACGGCAGGGCGCACAGTAAGAGCCAGCAACTTCTGAATAAATTTCTTCTGCATTTGTAAGATAGGATTTAAAGTCTCGTCCAAGTTTACAAAGGAAAACGTCGTTTAAAAACCCCGAAGGTAAAGTAAAAGCATGGCATTTGAAATCCAATTATTACAAAGATAGGATGGTTTCATCAAGCATACTTCAGGGACAATGCCGCTGTTTGGAGCATGCACCACACCACTGTGATCTTAAATTCCGGGCCCGTTTCATGGCCAGGGCTCCCCCTCCTCTGCGTCCCCTCCCCGCCCCCCAGCCTCAGGGCCCACCCCTTCCCCTTAATAAACAGCATTATAAAAAGGTAAAATCTAGAGTTAGTGGCAAAATCTTCACAGTAACTTGTTAATAAAGTCGTAGATGGCTGTCAAGGGCGTCAGTCCACGGGACCTTGGAAAATTAATTTGATGCAGTTCTGTTCCCCAACCAGCTGCGTGGCACAGAAAGGGCAGGCGGCATGGAACGCGTGAGTTCCGTGAGGCAACGGGATCTGCGACCAGTATTTCGCGGACTTCTCTGAGCACACGTGTCCACAGGGGGTGAAAGCGTGAGTGGGGGGTCCGGCGTCGACATAGAAGCCCGCCTCGCAGCCGAGCCAGAGCGGGACATAGGGGCCCACAGTCCTGCACATGGGACACTCTCGCTCGTTGGCCTCCGTGTCGCTCCGGTGGCCCCAGTTGTGGTAGCCGTGCACGTGGCCGCAGCTGAGGTAGGCCCAAGGCTGCTTCTCCTCCACCACCTCCTTCCTGTTGATGCTGGGGAAGGCCAAGGTGTTGAGCCCCACGGGACACTGCGGCCGCGCGGCGTTGATCTCCTGCCGCAGGGCTTCGATGTGCTTCTGCGTCGGAGTGTGGAACAGGCCGTCTGCCGTCCTCCAGAGAAGCGTGGCCCCGCAGAGGTCGATGAGGGAGCCGTCCTGCAGGACGTTGGTCTCGCTTTCCACCTACAACGAGTTCGACAGTCAGGCGGGCCTTGTAAAAACACAGTGCAGCCCCGCGCGCTAACATTCAAGTAAACACGGGCAGGCAGCGTCTCCCCCTGCCTCCCTGAGGGGCTCCAGGGGTGTGTTCCTCCCCGCGACCCGTTTGTTTCCTCACCGGGACACGGGACGGAATAGGGGTAGGCCATCCTCACAAGTCCTAAGCACAGATGCACCTAGCTTTACGTGTTCCATGGCTGCAGTGTGTTTTAACCAACTTCACAAATCTTAGGTTTTCATCTTTCCTCAGAGTCAATAGCACCATTGCTCCTTGACCTCACAAGGGACAGGACATGTCCCACCGGTCCAGCAGTGAAGATTCCTACTCCTCGTGACTAGAGCCGATCCAGGTCCTTGTGGGACCCTGCGATAATGACTGCAGCGGCCCAAATAATGCCTGGGGATCCTTAGCTTCATGCAATCTATTGTTCGTCCTGCATTTCTATCGTTTGGAGCAGAAGCGTTCGCCATTAGCCATATTTTAAAATTTAAATTCAATCAGCCAACATATAGTAGTACATCTTTAGTTTCAGATGTAGAGTTCAGTAATTCATCAGTTGCATATAACACCCAGTGCTCATCACATCACATACCCTCCTTAACTCCCATCACCGAGTTACCCCGTTCCCCCACCCACCTCCCCTCTAGCAACCCTCAAGGGGTTTTTCTCCTCAGTTTGTTTCCCATAGTTAGGAGTCTCTCATGGTTTGCCTCCCTCTCTGATTTCTTCCCAGCAATTGCACTACTAGGTATTTACCTTAAAAATGCAAATATAGTGATCCGAAGGGGCACCTGCTCCCCAATGTTTATAGCAGCAATGCCCACAATAGCCAAACTATGGAAAGAGCCCAGATGTCCATCGACAGAAGAATAAAGATGTGGTGTGTGTATATATAATACACACACACACACACACACACTGGAATATTACTCAGCCATCAAAGGATGCAATCTTATCATTCACATCGACGTGGATGGAACTGGAGGGTATGATGCTGAGTGAAAGAAGTCAATCAGAGAAAGAGAAAGGCTTCACTTTTAAAAGGATGGCACGCTATACCCCAGGTGCTTACAAGTCGGACTAAGAGCTGATGAGCAGCTGTTAGACACGGCAGGCAGGAATCCACCCACTGCCTCCACAGACCTGTGGGCTCTAAGGCCTGGGGGTAATAAAGCTGCTCTACCCATCCTGCAGAGCCCTCGTCTTTAGGAGCGGGAGGCAGACATGCTAGAGCCAGGAGTCAGCGACAGTCAGAGCGCTGCAATCGTCACGTGAGGCCACGTCACCAAAGCGGCTAAGAGCGGGGACTTCACAGCCCGTGGCCTTGGTGTGCACTCTGGCTCGGTCATGCACTAGCTCTAACCTGGGGCAGTTACTTCAGCTGCCTGAGCTTCAGTTTCCCCTTCTGTAAAACTGGACAAGAGGAGGGTGAGCATTAAATACTACAAAGAAAGTTCTTAGAACCCCGTCTGGCATGCAGTAAGCACGATGCAAATGTTTGCTACTATTACTTTGATAGGAGGTCAGAAATGCTTTTTAAAAAAGATTTCTCTTGAACAGAGATTTGAAAAAAATGTCAGGAACCAGGGGGTGGCAGAGAAGACACTCCAGAAAGAGGGATGCAGAGGCCACACGGCGTGCACACGGAGGGAGCCGCAGGCCTGCTCTGGGTGACCAGCGGCCGGGCGGGGGGGTGGTGGAGGATGCAGAGCTTTCTTGGAAAGGAAAGCTTTCCAAAAGGCCTTTCCAAAAGGCCACTTCAGAAGCGTGGAGGAGGGAATGGATGGGTGTAAGACGAGAGGGAGACCGTGGGAGTTCTCTCCCAGGCAAAGGGGGGGGCGCACCTCAGCACAGATTATCAGCGGCACCAGCCAAGACAGAGAGTAAACGCGGAGGACTCAGCTCCTGATCTGAGGAAGACAGATGTACGGATCTGGCTTTATTGTCTGCATAGGAGGAGGCTTTCCAGGGACCAGGAATCTAGGAGAAATGGCACACTGGGGGGAAAGGAGAGGAAGTTCAGTTTTGGGTGTGTAGAATCCGACGGCTCGGGCAGAGGGTCTGTCACGGTGGTGCCCAGGAGCCACACGTGGCTGCAGATCTGGCTTAGAGAAGCATGTCTGCGACTTACTAGCGTCGGGCCGAAGCCCTGGGAGTGGACGAGACTGCCCAGGCAGGGTCTCGGGGAGGGCAGAGAGGCCCTGGAACAGAACTGGGCCACACCCCTGCAAGCCCCGGGGTCGGGGTGGGGCTTGGGCGGGGGAAACTGTGTGAAGGGCAGCAGAGGTACAGGCTGAAGAGAAATTTTGTCATTCTCTGGCTCAAAGGTCTTTGCTGGCTCTCCACTGCCCTCAGCATCACCCCCAAACTTCACATGCTTAAAAGGCCATTCGCCACGCAGCCACAGGACCTTTCCTGCGGTGAATGAGGGCTGCCCTGATCTGAGTCCTTGCACGCACTCGGCTGCCCTGTCCACAGGCCTGTGCGCAAGTGACCTCCACCTAGAATTCTCCAGCACAGCGCTGCACGCCCCACCCCAGGTCTGCCTGCGGACGGGCACCACCACTCAGCATTCAGGTCTCACGTGGTGCCACTCTGGAAGTTTTCCTTAAGCAGTAGATATTAATAGTTAGAAAAAGTTAAAGTCCCAACAAAGTGATAAACCTTAATACTGCACAGGACAAGCACAGTGACCCTCTCTCAAATAACCTTTTAAAAAATCTGCTACTGGGCGCCTGGGTGGCTCAGTCGGTTGAGCGACTGCCTTCGGCTCAGGTCATGATCCCAGGGTCCTGGGATCGAGTCCCACATCGGGCTCCCTGCTCCACGGGAAGCCTACTTCTCCCTCTCCCACTCCCCCTGCTTGTGTTCCCTCTTTTGCTGTGTCTCTCTCTGTCAAATAAATAAATAAAATCTTTAAAAAAAAAAAAAAAGAAATCTGCTACTGCCCCCTCCCCACCCAGCACCGCCCGAGTACTGCATGTCTCCTCGCCTCTCTTGGGCTGGCCTGAGGCTCCCTTCCAGGGCTGACCACAGGCAATTGTCAGGGACGTGTCATCTAAGCCGGTAACCATGTCTGAAAGAATAATGCTGATGTGGTAAGAAACTGGGGTTCGGGAGTGGCCACGCTGTGAACCACTCCTTCTTTCCTTTCTACAGCGCAGTTCTTGGTAAACAATATCCTATAAATTTTGAGTGGATAGCTTTTTATTTTGCACACATTCTTGACTCCCATGTCTAGGATAGGTGTTCCTCCAACGTTAGAACAGGTTCCTCCTATACCTTCTAGTACCTTCTCTACGAACGTGTTCATCACCTACAACATGTTACTGATTTGCTGCATTGTCTGTGACCTTCTCCAGATGGGACAATTTGAGGGCAGCGCCCTGGGCCTCCTGTTCACTGCTGGATTCTCAGCTCCTACCGCTGCTGGCTCAGAATGGCTACGCAATCACGGGCTGCAGCGGGGCGCAGGGCCGCTCCCATCCGCACTTGGTTCTCTCGATCATCCTCAAAGATACAGACCAGCACTATTCCAACTGCTACTGCGTGTGGCAACCAGGACCCCCGTCTACAGCCTGACTTCAGAACCGCTGGTAGACCTGCTTTCTCTCTTCCTGAACTGGTATTTCTCGTGTGTTCTCTTTCAACTGTGAACACAATGCAGTTTTTCTGCAGACGATGTGTGGGGGCTAGCATGGTAAAGACACCGCTGTGCAAGGACACAGGCTCGGATTTTATTTTTAAAATTCTACCAAAAAAAAAAAAAAGGCAAGGAGAAAGCCTGAGTAATCGACAGTGATATTGTAAAAGTAAGACACTTAAAATATAATGGCCCCTACCGATCAGATAGCTAAGGTTACGGTAGAGAGTTCAAATCCCCACCCACTACTTACAAGCAAGTATCAACTTTTTAAAGCCCTGCTTTTCTCATCTGTCACTGGGAACCATGACACTGATCTCATGAGGTTGCTTTGAGTGCTGCCTGAGAGAGACTTAATATGAAGCACTTGGGAGAGTCTGTATGTGACACTATGGTTATTTTTATAGCACCTAAAATTAGGTAAGGAGATTAACTTAGCAGAATTTACTAAATTTTACAGAGCCATTATAGTTTAATTAAATACCCCAAATAGAATCTGAGACATTATATGTCTAGTATAGCTCTAGTAGATAGGTCTCTAGTACACTCACACCTAGTTGAGAACATTTATAATGTTCTAGGTAAAGGAAGAGGATACAATTCAAAGTCTATTCACCTATTTATTCAGGGGGTTCAGCTCCTGAAAGGGCATTTCCTCCACATTTAATTAATTATGTTGATCAAGGACAAAGCTTTGCTGTGATGAGGAGAAACCATGGCAGTTAACACATCCGTATGCTGATCCACATGAAATGCCAAGTAGGATATTAACACGAAACCATCTACCTGCACTAGTTCCACACTGAGAACAGGAGGCATCTACTGCTTTAATAATATTCTGGATTTCCAGCAGATCACGTTAGTCTCCATATTTCTGTGTTAAACTGCAAACGGAGAGTACTGCCAGAGACCGGTCCCCAAATCTGATCTCCAGCTAGACCATTTACCTCGCTGCTACCAGTCACAGGTACAGAACCAGAGTTAGAAATGGAAACCTAAGCTCCAAGAATCAGCAGGTGTTCACCTCAGACAAACTTCGCCTGGTTAACAAGAGGGGGTTGCAGGGAGGCTGGGTCCTCTCATCCCCACGGTGTCTCCCACCGTGCAAAATCAGAAGGATGGGAGCTCAGAAACCTTTCCTCTAGGCCAGGCCCATCGTACACTATCAAACAGGACAGCACAATCTGAGGCAGGTCTAAGGGTCTCCTACAGGGACTAAGTTTAAAATTAGTTGAGGTTTGGGGCACCTGGGTGGCTCAGTTGGTTAAGCGACTGCCTTCGGCTCAGGTCATGATCCTGGAGTCCCAGGATCAAGTCCCGCATCGGGCTCTCTGCTCAGTGGGGAGTCTGCTTCTTCCTCTGACCCTCCCCCCTCTCATGCGCTCTCTCTCTCTCATTCTCTCTCATTCTCTCTGTCTCAAATAAATAAATAAAATCTTTAAAAAAAAAAATTAGTTGAGGTTTAACACAACCCATGAACACAGGCTATGTTTGGAGTCGTTTCTTCTCAGGAGCACTGTCCCCTCCTCTGGCACGCACAGCTGCCTGAGCTGGGTCACTGCACAATCACCGAGGGTGGGCAAGAAGCTCATCCTATAAATGTGCCCTTTGAGACAGACAAGCCCCTTACGGACTCCAGCGAATGCTTTTCTATTTCCCAGGGAAGCAAATGCTCTCGTGTAAACCCGCTCAGGTGAGGGCCAGGTGCTGCCCCCCACAAGATTATACTGAGTGGCAGCTTGGAGTCCAGATTCTCAATCAGGGAGGACGGCGTTTTAATCCCATCTGCTGCCACCTTCTCACTCTGGGGCCCTGGGTAATATTTAACGTCTCTATGCCATACCTTCCCCATCCATAAAATGGGCAGGATTCCACTTCCCTGACAAAGCTGCTCAGATTTCATGAGCTGAGGTCTCTGAAATGTTAACGTAACGCCTGCACCCCGCAATGATTTATAATGACTTCTACTGTTGCCATCATAATGACTGATAACCAGTTCAGCCAACCTAGGTCAGTTTTGTATAACGTCATCCAGTGATCAGAAACAAAGTTATTTGGAAAAACTGCTTTCACAGTCTGTTCCCTATTTACATTCTCTTGAGAAGGGTTTAAACAAGAGGTTATTGTATTTGCTCTGGTCTTCCTTAGAAAACACTTCTCATGTTTACTCAGCCAGGATGCTCTAATATTGGGCTTTATTGTAAAATGCTCAGTAATACTGTGAAATATAAATAACAGTTCCCTACAAACAAACATCGAGTAGAGTCTAGCAAACCAGGTTAGTATAAGAGTCCCTCTTCCCCCAACCTCCCGCCACTGCCATCTTTTTTCCGTCTCAGTAACAGCTGGTTATCATCTTGCTGAAAAATGCTAGATCACTCTGTGCTTTTCTAGAGGGGTTCTGAAGGAAACGTTCATTCTCTCTAGTTCTAGGTTCTATCTACCAATTAATTAAAAGCACTGGAGTCGAAAGTTTACTCAGAAACTTCTGGCGCTGTGCCACAGCCATGGCAAGATCAGACACCCAAAACTTCCCATTTAAGGGCTTATAATTATTCTCCACAGAAGAAAGAGTTAAAAAGCCAACTGCTTTAGGGCATTTGGGAGAAGCAGGGATATTTATAGGAAAATATTAACATGCCAAGTCAATGCCCTCAATGAATGATTTCAAATAAAAAGTTTTATGATTTTGGTGAATTATATAGGGTATTATGTATTAATTTCTTACTATGAACTCAAGGGAAAAAAGCTAACTTAATTATCTTTTAGTTCCAGAAAGTCTAGTAAATAACTCTATAATTCATAATTTTCACTAATTAGTCTTGGACAGCTCAGGATTTTTCCACATTAGTACAGTTTTACACTAAAAATAAGTTTGCTCTTCTTAAAGTGAATATAAGAGGAATTTTGTAATGAAGCATATAATAACAGTTATGCTATTAAGGTAGTAAGGAGCAAAAAGATAATTTTCTTCTACTATGGGAAAAGCTTAATCATGGAAGCAAATAAGCCCATTTCCTTAGCATTTTCAGGGGCTGAAGGAACGCTCATCCTCCTGGGTCAATGGTCCACAGCACACGGGTGCTTCCACAAAGGTTCTGGATTTCAGGGGAGACAAATGGCAGTCCTTGAGCTAGGCTTTTGCAGTGTGGTACATTTTCCAGAGTGAAGACCACTCACCAGCTTTCCTCTTTGCTGGGCTGACCTGGTTTCTCGCAGGGTGTACACGTCTCCACAGACAGAGATCTCACGCCAGACCCCAGGCTGGGACTCCTCAGTGAAGCCCCCTCGGGGGTGCATCACCAGGACGCCATTCGTAGTGAGCCCGTCCATGTGGCCATCGGGGTTTTTCCACTTTGCTGCCTTCTCCTGGAGAGCATACCACAGAACAGAAAAAGCATGCTAAGATTAAGTTCAAAATGAAGGGATCCCAGAATCTCCTTAAGATACCCAGTATGGGCAGAAGGAAGGAAAGTGATGAATTTTCATTTTCTATTTAAAGCTAATAATCAGAAGGATAAAATATGCAATTACTCTGATAACATGAAAGTGCTAAAATGTATGAATGATTTATCACTGGATATGTATTATATTCATCTTGGGAGCTTTAAAAAAAAAAGGAACCTGATGCCTGAGCCCTTCCCTCAGAGATTCTTTTCTCTCCAACCCCCTGACCCCTGGGAGATTCCAGGAATCTAGTATGTGTTCTTCAGTTCTATTTGTGCAATCCTTTCGCCTCTTACGTACCAGCGCTTTACATGTAATCATCACCTGGGAAGTATACAGAAGGAAGGGGAAAAAGGAATTTTTACTAAACATACAAAATTTTAAAAAATGTTAGGCTAACAAGTTGTGGCCAGTATGTCTTGATAAGTATCAATGTTTATATACTCAAAGATGGAAGGTAAAGACAGCTTGATATAATGGCAGGACAAACACTCTTGGATGCCTGCGCCAGCGATTTCTCTTTCTTGAGGACAGAGCCAGATACTGCTCACATGACTCAGGAGTCAGTTCTGATTAGGATAAGCCCTCTTGCCAGTGACTGAGCTCTGGCCAATGAGACATGAGTGGGTCTTCTAGGAGCCTTCCTGGTAAGGTTCCTTTGCTCTAAAAAGAGAACAGGAAGCGGGGAATGACATCAGCCTCCCAGCGGCATGGGTCATTCCTTTTTCCTTGCCCCTTGGATTTACAACTAATCAGACATCCATAACCAAGCAAGAACATGGCTGCGCAGCATCCAGATCACCTGAGAGAGATCCATACATCCATGCCCCTGAAACTGGGTGCATCACAGAGGAGGCAGCAGAGGGGAGTCGCTGGGGAGCCAGAGGTGACAAAGACAGTGGCTGGTGGGCAGGGGGATAGCACGACCTTTTCTGACAAAGGAGGTGGAGGGTGAAGGAGGTTAAGTGGGGGTCTGCCCCACATATGTTCTATAGCTGGAAGGACCCACTGCTGTCTCTGAGGAAAAACTGCAGTGAGTGGGGGGAGGGAAGTAGGCAAAGAGAACTTCAGGGAAGGGTCTTCTACTGTCTGCCCCAGGGTTCTGGTCCATGGATTTCTTGGACCACCCCCTCACCCCCCCACCCCAACTTGAAGATTCCCCTACCAGGCTGTGGGCACATCAAAGTCCCAAGAACTAAGTACATACCTCCCCCAGCTCTGCTGCACCCTCCCATTCCTTTTCCCTTGGTGCCCACTCCCAATCTCTGAAAAGTCAGCCCCTACCCCTGAAGATAAACCAAAAATGTGTGCTATAGTGCCACCTTCTGGAAAACAAAAGAAAGGCTCCTAACTACCAACATGTTGAACTGTTAGAATCAAAGTAAACAGAACCTTGCCTAAATAGGGTGTTCCCTACTTCCAATGTGAGGACAGAGGCACTTTTAATCAAACATCAAGAAAAATCAGTCATACAGTATCACAAAAAGAAAATGACAATTTTCCAGCAACTGAACCCAAAGATATGGAATATTGCAATCTAATGGATACAGAATTCAAAACAGCGGTTATGAAGAAATTTAATGAACGACAAGAAAACTGAGAATGGCAATACAATGACCTCAGAAATAAAACTGACAAACAGAAGGAATACTTTACCAAAGGCACCAAAATTCTTAAAAAGAACCAAACAAATTCTGGGTCTGAACAACTCAATATATGACATGAAGAATGCATTAGAAAGCACTGGAAATAGAGCAGATCAGGTGGAAAAGAGAATTAGCAAACTGGAAGACAGAAACATAGAAATGATTCAGATGGAAGAGAGGAGAGAACTAAGATTTAAGAAGTGAAGAAACACTACAAGAGCTAGCAGACTCCATCAGAAAAGCCAACATAAGAATAATGAATTTTCTGGAAGGAGAAGAAAGGGAGAAAAGGACAGACAGCATATTTAAAGAAATAATTCCTGAGAACTTCCAAAACTTGGGGAAAGACCTGGATATACAAAGTCTATGAAGCCAACAGAACATCTTTTTATCTCAATGCAAGATCTTCTCCAAGACACATTATATTAACTATTAAAAGTCCATGACAGAGTTTTAAAGGCAGCTAGGGAATAAAAAGACAGTAACCTACAAAGGAATCCCCATCAGGCTATCAAATTTCTCAGATAAAAACTGCCAGCCAAGAATAGTCTACCCAGCAAAGTTATGCTTCAGATATAAAGGACAAGTAAAGGCTTTCTCAGACAAACAAGAGCTGAGGGAGTTCACCATCTCTAGATCTGCCTTACAAGAAATGCTGAAAGGAGCTCTTCAAGCTGAAATGAAAAGACGGAGGCACACAAAACTCTGATTAAGGTGACAGAATTAGAAACTGCAACTCTTTGTAGTAATATGCTAAACTCTAAACTCCTAATGATAGCATAAAGGTTGAAGGCCAAGAGCATGAAAAATACCTGTAATAAATAAAAACAACTACAGCTACTACAATGTGGTAACAAAATCACAGCATAAAAAAAGATAATTTGTGATATGAAAAATATAAAAGGAAAAGAGTAAAAGGATTGAATTTTCATAGGCAAAAGAAGAGAAATTGCTATCAGCAGAAAAAGGACTATTTTATCTATGAGTTGTTTTATGTAAACTTCATGATAACCACAAAGCAAAAATCTAGAGCAGAGACACAAAACATCAAAAGTGGGGGAAGCTGAGCAAAAAGCACCATGGAAAACCACTAAGGTACAAAGGCAGGTAGAAATGAAAGGAAAAAGAAACAATAGAGAGACAAAATAACTAGAAGGCAAAAGAGAAAATGGCAGTAGTAAGTCCTTACATATCAAGAGTCACACTAAATGTAAATGCACTGAACTCAGCAAAAGGCATAGAGTGGCTGGATGGATTAAAAACAACAAAAGACCCAACTATATGCTGCCCTGCAGGAGATTCATACCAGCTTTAAAGACACACATAGGCTCAAAATGAAAGGATGAAAGATTATATTCCAAGCAAACAGAATCCAAGAGAAGGCTGGTACAGTCATACTTACATCAGACAAAACAGATTTCAAGCCAAAAAGGGTAATAAGAGACAAAGTCATTACATAATCATAAAAGGGTCAGTACATCAAGAAAACATAATGATTGTAAATATATATGTGCCCAAAATTTGAGTACCAAATTATATGAAGCAAATAATAATAGATCTAATAGAGAAACGGACCACAATATAATAATTGTAGGGGACTTCAATACCCCACTGTCAGCAATGGATGGATGTTTCAGACAGAAAATCAACAAGGAGACATTGGAACTGAACCACACTTTAGAACAAAGGGACTCAGTAGACATATATAGAACATTCTATCCAACAGTAGCAGAACATTTTTCTCAAGTGCACTGGAACATTCTCCAGGAGAGATAGGATAGGCCACAAAACAAATTTTAGCAAGTTTAAGAAGACTAAAATCATATCAACTATCTTCCCTGACCACAGTGGCATGAACTAGAAAAGTGACAATGAAAGGGAAGTGAGAAGATCTACAAATATGTGGAAACTAAACAACTCCCTTCTAAAGAACCACTGAGTCAAAGAAGAAATCAAAAGAGGAAATATTATCTTGAAACAATTGAAATTGTAAACACAACATATCAAATATTGTGGGATACAACAAAAGCAGTTCTGAGAATCCTATAGCAATAAACATGCATATTAAGAAATTAGAAAAGTCTCAAATAAACAATCTAACTTTACACTTCAAGAAACTAGAAAAAGAAGAATAAAGCAAGCCCAAAGTTAGCAGAAAGAAGGAAATAAGGATCCAAGCAGAAATAAATAAAATAGAGACCAGAAAAACAACAGAAAAGATCAATGAAACTGAGAGCTGTTCTTAAAAAAGATAGATAAAAATCGACAAATCTTTAGCTAAACTAAGAAAAAAAGACGACTCAAAATTAGATATGAAAGAGGAGACATTATACCTGGTATTACAGACATACACAGAATCATGAAAGACTGCTAGAATGTAGAAGAAATAGATACATTTCCAGAAACACACATCTACCAAGACTGAATCAAGAAGAATCAGAAAATCTGAACAGCCCAATAATGAGTAAAGAGATCAAATCAGTAATTAAAAAAAAATCCCAAGAAAACCCTAGGACTAGTTGGCTTCAACTAGAGAATTCTACCAAACATTTAAAGAAGAATTAACGCCTTTGTGAATGGTGTTAGAGAATGGTCGAGTTTCATTCTTCTGCATGTGGCTGTCCAATTTTCCCAGCACCATTTATTGAAGAGACTGTCTTTT